GTTTATTTCCTCAGAGGTCAACATCAGGAACAATGGCCTGCCTTGTCTTAAAAATAAAGTAATTTTAAACAGAACTTTACCCACTTTAAACCACAATTTAAGTCCTTGAGCATGACCTAAAATGATTAGTAACACATAGCATCACTTATGTGACAAGGTTTAATTAATTGGCAAGGGTGCACTTAGTGTCTAAAGCAAATGCTGTTACTTAACATGTTTTTAGGAGAAAAAAAATAAGTATGGCCCAGAACTGTAGTTCAGTCTTAAAAGAATCTTGGAAATAGGGCTCTTGAAATTAAGTCCACAGAGAATGAGGAGATCAAAGGCAGATAGGCTACAGTAAGTCAGGGGACAAATTTTGGGGGACCAAAGGCAGAGCTCTTGGAGAAGAGAGACTGCCAGCACTGGTGAACGGAGGAAGAAATCCCAGCAGAGGACTAGCTCAGTGGGAAGTGAGGTGGTTTGTTCATCCACTACTATCAGCCATGACAGTCCGGAAATCCCTGCTTTGGAGACTGAAACCCATAGTGCTTGCTGCCTAAATGTCACTAAACTACGCTGGCTTGTCAGTAAAGTTATTCTGTTATCCTGTTGCTGATTGCCTTGGTGCTTATGTGAATCCAAAGAAAAAAAGCAGAGAAAGTAAAACGGTGTTTTTCTTTGGGACAGAGCGGAGGAGTGTGATTTGCGTATTAATAAGGGTTTGTATTGTTTATTAAAAAGGGCTGTTTTTATCTGAAATGGGCTGCATGTTAAATTCACTAAAATGGAAATTGAGAGACAAAGCTGGGCCTGCGAGAGAACTGAAACTTGGGGAGTTTCCTCAAAAGCAGCATTTCTTCTGGGAAATTATCTGCATGTCATTAAATATCTTGTGCTGAGATTCTGGATCTTGAAATCCAATTATCTGTATCAATGATATTCAGCCTTCAGGACCTGAAAAGCCACTTTCTCAGGAAATGGAGAAGCACAAACATACAAAATAACACAGCACAATTCAGAGTAACATCTGATGATGCTTGAATTGTAAATCCACGACCCGATACCGCACTGCAATTGTTGGACAGCACATAAAGCAATATATTACTGCTCACTGGAACTTCCTTGAGAAAATTTGGATCAAAGAGGTATAAATATTTGGCACATTGCACTGCCATCTCTTTTGCTCCCGAATGGAATGGGAAGAAGTTTCTTCTCAGTCTCAGGTCAGAAGTAACTATTAAGTCACCTGCTGCGTAACAGGCCACAGACTGTACTTTTCTCCCCTTGTAGGCTGTGGGGTAGGAAGACAGTGATGTTATCCTTCATACTCTTCTTTCAGACCATTCCTTTTCTTTAGGGACAAGAAAATTTTATTTTTATTCCCAAGTGGTCTAAATAACTGTAGGAAAGTCTCAACCTAGCTTACTAAAATGCCTTCCATTACTTATACTGAAATAAAATAACCTCTCTAATGGAATCGGCTAGAAAGGTATGTACTTAAGGTGGAATCCTTAGTCATAAATTCTGTAATGGAATGGTTTGGAACAGTTTTGGTTTGCTGATGTGGAAACTGAGAACTAAACACGTAATTAAGCAATGCTCCCCACCCCCAAAAATAAAGGCCCGAGAGAAACGAATGGTAAGGAATGAAAGAGTTAAGAGGAAGTATTAAGTCAGTGATCACATCACCCAGGTATGTGTTATTTGAATTTTGCTAGACTGGTCTTGGATTCTGTTCCTGTGGGTGAACCTCTTCTGTGGCTTCTTAAGGTAATTTCAAAAGTGAAGCACACAAAGTAGAAATGTTGTTTTCCAAATCAGAACTCAAATAAAATGGATTTCTACTTTAATGGCAAAAAATTTTGTTAAAAATTTGAAGTTACTGTTCCAAGACTCACTGTACTGAACGTTTTCTTCCATCTAGCTCTCTGTAAGGCTTGACTCTCCTCCCAGCTCCCTGTTCAAAAGAGGTGTATAATTTTGACTGTGTGCAACTAGCTGTCTCTCTTGTTCACTATGTATGTAAGCTAGCTTATTGTAACTTTGATTTGAAACCATATCAAATCCCTTTTTTATTTATTCATCATTTTTCTTAGGATGAGTTCCATAAAATACTTCCATGTACAGCATAATCACAGTTAAGTCTTGTCTAAGAAATTCCCTGGCTGCTATATCAACTGGTTCATTGCCCTGAAAACGAAAAGTGCTTCAGCCCATATGAAACACACCTCCATTTTTAACATATAAAAAACATTACCAAAAAAGTGAACACAAATATACTACCTGCCAAATCAAATCCACACTGAATCCTTAACTATGAGCAAAGAATTTTTTTTAAGGTACCAAAATTGCAGTCTTTTCCTCAAAGGAGAATTTTGATTCAACCATTTTAGAAATTGCTCTAAAACAGACTAACCACAACTAGAACAAATCCTGTTCTTGTAACATGATAGAAGGCCATCACTGTTTGACAGCAGCAGGCTAATATTTGTGAGTGTGGTAAGAACACCTCGTTATTGATACAGCATCTCCCAGGCCATCGGTGCCTCGGATTATTATTAATAATCAGACATTTGCTTCATCCTGAGCTGGTACAAAAAAACAGTTGAATTCTTAGAATTGCTAAAGATACTAAATATTCTGAAACTCCTGGCTTTGACCCACTGACAACTTCCATATAATTTTGTTCTTGACTTTCATATTATGTCATACTATAATTTATAAATAATCTGAAATATGTTAGCCTTTACATAAGTAGCAGAATCAATAAAACTTTTTCGTATCAAAATGAAAATCCTTAATGCATTTCTATTTAAAAAGCAAAACATACATATTACTCTGAAATTTGGACCACAGTTGGAGGCATTACTGTCCTTCAGTAAGTAACGATAACCCCATTTTATAATTTCTGTGACGAAGCTTACATCGATTCTGACGTATGTGCACATGTACCACCAGAACCTCAATGGGAAGTACAAAGCAAATTCCTAACACCTCATGCTGTTTCCAGCAGAAATCTCATTTGTCAAGACAACAGGAGAAGATAAATCATTTTGGAATAACCTTTTCTTAGAGTCTCTGCTTGTTCTGATATTGTAAGTCACGATGGCTTTTAATCTGCATTGTTCTGTATTACAGATTGAGTAAGAGATAACTGCCTGCATGGAATAAGCAAGAAAATCTTTAAAATACCCTTTTAAGCACCCCCACATACGGGAAGCAACACAAAAACATTATGAACTAACGACTATTTCCAACAGTGCTAACAGGTTCAAGATGTTTTATTTATAAAATAATTTTAGAATTGAAAAATATCAACCCTCTAGTTGGATAAACAGAATCGATAACTTAGTTATTTGAGGATTGTCCTCAAACTTCCATACCGTGAATACGTTCCTTAGTGAAAGAAAAATCATTAAGCATAATCATTAGGATTAGTTTGGTTTTTGAAATGCTTTGAATGGCAATTTAGGAACCAAGTAGGTCTCAAAAATTTTTTTTGGTGCTATACTCTAAAATTTGTCTGTACTCCTCATTTTTAGTAAGTATAATTATTTTAGTAAACACAGAGAATGAATTAGCAGAAAATAATTTTAAGAACCATGTATGTAAAATGTCCCTAACTATGCTATTGATATGAGCATGAGATTATTAAAAGTGAAACATGCTTGGGATCCAAATCTGCTTTCATTGTTTACACTTGTTAACTTTCTGCATTTTTTCACTGACATATAACAGTTTCAATTCTGCTTCTGAGCACTGCGTCAGCAAGCACAAATGCACATGCTTGAATGTTTTTCAAATTCATAGTCATAAATAATTTCTTGTGAATTATTTTGATTTATATACATGCATTAGCACAATGCTTTAATAGCTGAGTTGCAAAAACTTGTTAGAAACATTTACTGAACTTAAGGTTTTTACTACAATAAAAACCTCATGCAAATTTTAGCTCCTAACGTAACTTAGCTATAGTATAAAAAAGGGATGATATGATCACTGATAAGCATCTATCAGCAGTATTTCTATATGTACACATACCTCAGACAGCAATCTCCACCCATTTGCAGAGCATCCTTTTGTCAAGATTGTTTCCTGCCTCCACCTTCAATCTACAGAGACTAGCCTAGAAGTCTAGGTGCCTGCGCCACAGGTATACACATTATCTAACCCAGAATGACTCTGGTTTTGTACCTCAGCTTATTAAGATATACTTTCCAAATCCGGGTAAACAAGATAAGGTTTGGTCAGCAATAGAGGTTAATAAACCAGTCAGCTGTGGCAGTCACTTTCCAACAAGAAATTATCATGCTGATTTTATACGAGTAAGATAGTCTTTGCTAACCTATCATTTCCATCTGATCCAGTATCCTTGGAGATTTACTTATGATCTATTAAAATAAATGTTGCCATTATGTTTTCTAATTAATATATGTGAGGAGATGCCCAATAAAAAAAATCTTCTTATGAGTGCCAACATGCTGTAGATAACACAGAAACTAGATACTTTTTGAACACATCTGTCTGCCTGTCCCATGCTGAGATACGTATCTCATAGTTCCTTTTATTTCATAACATAAAGAAGCTCATTTGTCCCTTACTACCCCTTAACGTGATGGCACTGCAATGTCATCCTCATTTAGATGAATAAAAGAAGGTCCTGGCCATCTTAAACAACACTTTTAGAATAGCACCTTTAAAATGCCACTCAGGATGGAACACCAAATATAATTACAAACGTGGAGTTTCTAAGTGAGATGCTATTCTTCCAGACAGCAGAGTTCCAAGTAATAGTTAATATGAAAAAAAAAAATGTGCTAGAAGACACCTAAAAATGTATGGTTGCTCTCTCTCCAGCAGCGATGAAATATGTGATCTGCAAAGCACTATGTTGTTGTTATTCTGCCTCAGAGCTGACTGAGATAAAAGTGTAAATGCTTTAGAAATATAAAATATAGCAAATGTTTGTAAGTCTACTAACTTCTTGGTTTTATACCAGAACTTGATAGAACACATACCTTTCTTCCCCCTGTGTTTATGCGAAGTGGAGTTAAGAAGGGATCAAAAATCATATGGCTGGTTTCAATATTGACAGGTGACTGTCTTTTCCCAACAGAGCAAAGATTCCAAGCTGAGTTCACCAAACCCCAAAAGGAGGGAACTGCAAAATATAAAAAAGTGCAAGTTTAAGAGAAGTCTGGAAAGACTAGAGAAATACATGCAAGGCAGATAGCTAGATAATTAAACTTGTCATACTGTCTACATACATACACTGAAACTGAAAACAGGCAAATTCATCTAGCACTTGAAATTTAGAACTCCATGCATAAAGACCAAAACATATTTTTTCATATATTTTTGTATCAGGAAAGAAGGGGTTTTTTTTTCTCTTTTGAAAGTACCTAGATATATTCCCAGATTCAATTATTAATAGCTCCTTTGCTGTTAGTATTATAGAATATTTATTGAGCAATAGGAATGTGACCCATTAGTCCTTATGCTAATTTTGCATACATACAATGTGTCCTTGGACTGAAATTGTTCCATTCTACTCAACTTCTTAAAAGTGTTCGTATTTAGTAGAATTCTTTAAAAAAACCAGCATTATTCTAAGAGAAGCTCACACATTGTGAGAACAATGGATGTTCTCATTCCAGAGAACAGGCCTGCCCTCTAGACAGGTTCTACTAATTTCTGTTCCATTCACCCAAACTTTTCTTTAGTTGAAGTTTTGATCTAAAAAAATCACATTGGAAAAGCCACACTCTGATGGTGAAGAAGGATAGTTCCCTGTACGTGCAATGGCTTGGAACATGGAGGAACGCCTGATTTTTGACAAGCTGAGTTACTTTCAGAGATTCTGTGCCCCTAATTGGAAAAAGAAAAATGTGATGTAACTATATACTGCTTCTCATCAGGTAACTGCAGGCTGAAGGTTCATATTGCATCTAATCTGCGATTTATAGACAAGATCAACCTGAACTTCTCTTTGGACGCTGAAAAAATTTCTGACTAAATGAGTAAAGAGCAACTAACAAGATACACAAAGGACACATTTAAATTTGTGTCTGCACACTTTGTCCCTGTCTAAAGTATATACGGCAACTTTGACTTTATCAGAATTATTCTGTAGTTTTGCGTAGCAGGTGGAAATTTCACAGGTCCGAATGTTGATGCCTTTTTTGGCTTTATTTTTTCTTTTTACATCTTGTTAAAAGTTTTCATAACCTTTGAGCCTCAAAGCATCCTTCTAATCTACAAACTGTGTGTGACAAAGTCTACAAACTCAGGCTGGGGGAAGGAGCATGTGGCTGAGTCCTCAGGGCAGGAGCACAGGTGTGTTGCCCAGAGGGTGGAGCTGAAAACAACCCATCAGCTGCTTATAAAAAGCTTTTCGGTTGCTGTAGCTAGTTGCATGCAGGATTTTGCAGTGTGAATGTTTGCTTCTGCTTGCAGTTTTTGGCTACTCTTGTGGGAGCCACATAGAGTGTTGCCTGGATTTGAACCTCACATTTGTAGTAGACTTAACCCATTGGGAAGATATTCCTTGGAGGGGAGACAGGTGGAAAATATCTTCTGAGTAGTGTAGCCTCAGGAAAATGGCTGATCTTGGTAAGTGTTTTCCTATCATGTTTTATAGATGTCGTGGTTTAACCCCAGTTGGGAACCAAGCACCACCCAGCTGCTTGCTCACTCTCCCACCCCCTCAGTGGGATGGGGGAGAGAATTGGAAGAATAAAAGTGAGAAAACTCGTGGGTTGAGATAAAGACAGTTTAATAGGTAAAGCAAAAGCCGCGCACGCAAGCAAAGCAAAACCAGGAATTCATTCACTCCTTCCCATGGGCAGGCAGGTGTGCAGCCACCTCCGGGAAAGCAGGGCTCCATCACGCGTAACGGTGACTTGGGAAGACAAACGCCATCGCTCCAAACATTCTCCCCACTTCCTTCTTCTTCCCCGAGCTTCATATGCTGAGCATGACGTCACATGGTGTGGGATATCCCTTGGGTCAGTTGGGGTCAGCTGTCCCGGCTGTGTCCCCTCCCAGCTTCTTGTGCACCCCCAGCCTCCTCGCTGGTGGGGTGAGAGGCAGAAAAGGCCTTGACTCTGTGTCAGCACTGCTCAGCAATAACAAAAACATCCCTGTGTTATCGACACTGTTTCCAGCACAAATCCAAACCACAGCCCCGTACCAGCTACTATGGAGAAAATTAACTCTATCCCAGCCAAAACCAGCACAAATGGCAAGCCAAACAGGGCATGCCGTTATCTTCAAGATCATATTACTTAAAGAATTTATGATGCAACTGGGATTGTCCTAGAAAAGCTGCACTGGAAAATAGCTGCTATGAGGGGATGTTTTATAATGTTATTTCTGTTTTTGACAGGGAAACTTTGCATTCTGTGCAATGCCTGTCACACCAGCCTACCACCTGAAAGTCAAGAAGGTGGAGCTCCGATATTGTGATGTTGCACTGCAAAGGTTAGACTTGTCACCCAGACATGTAAGTCTGTGTTACAATCTTTGATTTCTTTCTAAATGCCTAGGAAGCTCATGCTTAAGAATCCCTCCAATATGTGCTTGTTGCTAGCTCTGTTATCTATGGTTAGACAAAAAGAAAGTTCAGCCATGGTAAACTTACTCCAGTGATCAGAACGACTTTGCTTATGCTTTAACTGAAGGTTAATTAAGGATGACTGACCTAAGACTGCACACCTAAGTTAACTACTGGATGGGGATCTTATGGAATATTAATGTCTGATTACATTTAATTACAGTAATTAGTGCTGCTGCTTAGATGCTCAAAGTAATAGAAAAGTATTTAGAACAGTAATGGAAAAATCCAAGGAGGCTTCATGTAGGAAACCAAGGCTTAAATTAAACACAAATACTGAATTAACTGTTTAGTCTAAAGAAATTAGTGTATGAATCTAGAAAAACATATCAAAATATTCATCATTTTATTATTCCAGCTTAGCTAACAGACAGGGTTCTACTAGGGGTTAAGTCACTAATGAAACAGTATCTCCTTCCCCACAATTAGGTTGTATTTTCTTAAAAATCTAGTCATGTGTGAGCGGGAATGTGCTGCATCTTTGTGTGTGGACCTTTGAAGCATTTTAGGCAGCAGCCTGGCTCCTGTGCTGTACAGGAGCTGCTCTTACAAGCTAGTTTGCATGCAGCCCACATACTAGCTTACAATCTCATTTAACAAGGTTCTCTAGCTACTGGTTTTTCTACCAAATGTTTCTGTATACTGGTCATGTCATCTCTGCCTTTGCCTATAAATCCCCCTAAATTTATACCGCTTGAGAGCTGATTTGTTGCAAACATGTTACATAGACATAAAGTGATAAGTTTTTGCCTGATCAATGTCATGCCTTCAACCTTCTCATAACAGAAGGAAAATTGGATAAATTCAAAGTTTATTTCCTCTGTATGTTGGCACACTATGGAAAACTGACTTTTTTTTGGGGGGGGGGTTATATGGGGAGAAAGTGGGGGGATTACTTGTATTTTACACCTATGAAAATATCTCTGACATCCTTATTCAGTCTGTATCTTATTGCAGCTGCTCTTTTTCTCTATTTACTGGGAACAATTTATATTGAGATATATGAAGATGCTCTAGTATCAGCATGACACAATAGAATGAGGGATCCTGATGGCTTTTACCAAACCTATGCATAACAACAGTGAAATAATAGCAGCTAGAACAATAAAGTAAGGATTGAATGCTATTCTCCTAGTGATGAGTACCAAGGATTTGCCTAAATAAATACAAGCCTCCCCTCTCCAGAGAAAAGCAATGAGTGAACAGAGTCCGATAAGGATGCCCTTATGTGGCATGCCCTTATGCTGTAGGTACAGCAAACTTGCAGATAAGCGTAATGGTACCATCTACAGAGTGTGTTGATGGACATGTAACAGTCTGCATCTACGTTGTGAAAGGAGGCAGTGGTTTTCCCAGTATAGGATCAGAGGCGCATGCTGTGTATGATGTCTTAAATACTACTTATCTTAGAAAAAACATGATGCTGGACTCAAAATTTTGTCTAGGTCATGAAAGGGTTGTGGACAGTTAAGCAGTGTCTCCTAATCACTTGCCTGGCTGTCGAGGGCTTATTTATAAAGAAGTTTCTCAGAGTTCTACCTCATGCTCTCTTTCTGCATCTTGTTCTTAGCAAAGCCATAAAGAGTCTGTAGCCAGAATTTCTCTGAGGCATTTTCTGAAGAGTCCTCATGATGCACTGACTGAAATAGTTGGGTCTAGCTCAGAAGAGAACAGATGCAGCACTTGGGGTGGGGTGAGATGATGCTGTGCTTCCCAGCACACCCGGCCCTGAGGACAGAGCACTCCTGGGGGTTCATCTGGTAGCAAAGCTGTGCTGGGCTGTGTCTGTCTGCTACATTCAAGTCCTGGCTGTGTTCTCCATTCTGAAATGACTGTGAAAGACTAGAAGGCCGTGCCATACCTGGTGAAGTGTTACCCCATCAGCTCTCAACTTTACAATCTAGGGAGTCCTTAAAGATACTTGCATTTACTTGGAAATGTGGCTGCAATTGCAAAGAGTGGCTCTGCAAGGTTTCTACACCAAAATCATAATCTTTGTTTCTAAGCCATAAAACATATGAGAATTTATTTAAGATAAAATCACGTCTCTCTCTCTGCTTTTCTCCTGATTTAAGGCTCTGATCTCTATTCTGTGCCATGATTAATCACTGGCAGGAGTCATTCTTAGTTGTTCAAAGTTTTCAAAGAATCCTAAGTTTCTCTCTCTCCCTGCTCTACCCTCCTGTTTGTACATTTGCATTACTTTCCTAAGGTCTCTTATGATCAACTCACAGCTTATATTTGTTAAGCTAACTTTTGTTAAAAGTGCTTAACCTTGGCAACACACATGATTTATTACTGCTCTGGGAACAAAAGCAAAGGGCAGGCAGGTTTCATGCACAGTAGGCAAATGATTTCTATTATTGCAAAGTTTTGTAATATCCAGGAAATAGCCCCGTATTTCTCAGTACAACTTCCGAGTTCAGGGAAAAACACAGCAGACTTTCTACTATGTTCCTTGTGTTGCCTCATATAAATGAATGAGATAGTTTAGCAGCAAATCAAATAGAGAAGAAGATATCTGGGAGAAAAGCATGTTTAAAAAA